GGAGAGGGACGGGGAGCTCTGACAGCAAACAACCCAAGGATCTGATGTAATCTGGAGAAGGAGGGAAAGCTTTCCCCAGGAAGTGACATTTAAACTAAGATTTGAAGAATTAAAAGAGGACTGAGTGATGGATCGGGAGGGGTGTGTATAGAGAGAGGCAGCAAAGGAAGACAGAAGACAAAGGGCAGACAGAAGAACCTGTTCAAAGGGCCTGAGGAGTGAAGAAACATGACATGTTTGAGGAATGGAAAGACCAAAAGGCCAGAAGGGCTGGAACACAATATATGCGTGGTTTTTTGTTTGTTTTTTTTTTGTTTTTGTTTTTTTTCAGGTTAGGAACCAACAAAGGAAGAAGCTGTAACAAAACGGGACTTAGGACTCGGCAGAAATGGCCACGCCTCCCCCACCCCCAACCTGCAGCCCAGGTGCAGCAACCTTGGCATGAGTCTTTTTTTTTTTTTTTTAATTTTAATGTTTACTTATTTTTGAGACAGAGAGAGACACAGAGTGTGAGCAGGGAGAGGAGCAGAGAGAGGTGGAAACACAGAATCCAAAGCAGGCTCCAGGCTCTGAGCTGTCAGCACAGAGCCCGCCCTGGAGCTCGAACCCACGAACTCTGAGATCATGACCTGAGCTGAAGTCTGACGCTTAATCTTAACTGACTGAGCCACTCTGGCTCCCCAGCATGAATCTTTAGAAGGCACTCCTGGACTGACAGCTGGGGCACACAACCGGATGAATAGAGCCCAGGCTGGCTTTCAGCCACCCCACCCCCCACCCCATCCCCTCAGCCAGACACAGTCTGGCTAAGCAGACACAGGGCAGTGTGCGTGCCCACCTCCCTCAACCCAGCCCTCGCACAGCAAGTAGGCCAGAGCAGGGCCTCAAAGGAATCCCCTAGAGATCCAGATAAAATGCAGAGGCTGATTCAGTAGCATGGGGCCTGCAGTTTTGCATTTCTACCACACTCCCCATTGCTCTGGCTGGTGATCTCTACACCACATGTCGAATAGCAAAGAACTGGCAGATGAGGTGCGGAGGACTGGGCAGGAACATCCCAGGGTAAACAGGGAAGAAAAGAAACCCATGGAAAATGATTCTGTTTGATGAAATGAAACCCTTTCAGACTATTTCCCACTGTGGGCCAGTCCTTTTCCTGCTGGAGACAGACAGACATGATGCAGACCTTGTCCACAGGAGAAGGCACCCAGAACCTGGTGGGACAGAGAAGTGTGCCTGCCACACCCAGGGCAAAAGAGCCCTGGAGCCCAGAAGGAATAACTAGAGCTAAATAAGCAAATCAGGGAGGACTACTTGGGAGAAGTGACATTTGCAGAATCAACAGTATTTCGACAGGTGGAGGGCAGGAAAGCTAAGCAAAAGAACCAAGGTATACCTCAAATCATCGAGCATTAGGTTATTCTGGGCCTTGAATGCCAGGCTAAAAGAAGAGAAATTTACCAAAAATGAGAAAGCAAAATCTCATCAGGCAGTCAGGGCCCAGCCTCGCGAGCTCCAGTTCTGTGAGGCCCCCCATCAAGGTGCCCAGGCCTGACAAGTCCCATGCAGTTGGTGGGGCCTGGGAGCGATCAATACAGAACAGCTTTCCAGTGTCTGGGCTTGTGTCATCTACACGGGAAGGTCAGGACGACAATGCGGGAGGGCAGACATCTAACTCCACCTGTGGGGAAAACAGGCAGGGGAAGCGCTAGAGAGAAAAGGTATTCAGCCACAGAAAAGGAGACCTGTGAAAAGGGCTCACTGAGAAGACATGAAACATAAAGCCCAAGCCCCTCAAAAAGAAACGCGTCAAGTGTTTGCAAGATTGAAGCCCATTGGAGCCGCTGAAGAGAAATGGATGGCTGGAGAGAGAGCAGTGAGAGAGAGCTCTTTAAGGAAATAAATGAGCCAGCCCAGGAGCCGAACCCTCTCCTCAAGCTCCCTGCGCCTTCCGAGAACCTCCACCTCACCGCAGCCCCGCCAGAGCCAAGGTCATGTGGCCCACATCTACATGCCAGCCAGGCAGCTCTGGACCCCATGTTACAGTCCTGTCCCAACTCTGGCCCCGTGCCCCCTTCTGCCAATGGCCTCAGCCTTGCCCCAGAGATGAAACCTCTCTACCTTACATTCTAGATCGCTTGACTTGAGTTCTGACATGGTGGCCTGCCCAGGTCTTCCCAGGCTGAGACCCCACTGAGCTCTCCTTCCTTCTGGGAGTCCTCACCCCAAACCACCCGGGCTCCCCTTACCTATGGTTATTCCCTCCTGCCTGACGTGTGACAAGAACGACCTGAGCCATGTGAACCAGTCCTTCCTGAGTCCAAATACTGAAAGGGGCCAAGGATTTGTTCTCAAGGCAAAGAAATCAGACTGGACTTAGAGCTAGAGCCATAGAAATGTGGTCTGCCCGCATCCTTGGGTGTTTCTTGTGCCGTTCTATTCCTCAGATGCTTGCTCAGAGTCGACCTTCAAGCTGAGGGTTCAGCGGTGGTGCAGGTGTGGTCCTGGAAAAAACTTCATAAGAACATGAACATCATAGTCTCCTCGGTTCGCGACTCCAGGCATATCCTTTTCTGCCTTCTGGGTGGCACCGCTCTGCAGGGTGCACTCTCTCCCAGAGCAGCAGCCAGGCTCCTGGTGGGTGGCAGTGCTAGCCCTGTGGCCCATCCCTGCCATGAGGCCACAGCAGGAAGCATTAAGGGAGAACCAGCAGGCGGATGGCCCACTACAGTCAGCTCTGTGCAGGAGCGAGCTTGAACGCTTCCCCCAACGTGACTCCTGCTGCTGAGTCTTACACGGTCCCGTATTTGTTCACCCCTCATTGCCGAGAGGCCTCTGAGCTTCCTGAGCACCCTCAGTGGTAGCAGACCTTGCTCCCAGACTGCTTCCCCCCTGAGTCAAAGGTAAAGTGTCAGGCCCTCGAGTCAGGTGTCAGGACTAGCTTACAGAGGTCACATTGTGTTGTTGCAGACTCCCAAGTTGGGTGTAAGTAAGGTTCCCCATGCCCATTCACAGCCACAGTCATTTCTAGCAGCTTAAACTGCATGCCCTGACAATTTCTATCCCGACAGGCTGGACTGCAGCCCCAGCCCATGCAGAGACTGCAGCCCGTTCATATCACAGCTGCTAACGTGCTGTTGGGCATGCAAAGGAGGGAGGCTGGAATGAACCCTGATGTGTTGGAGGTATCAGGGTGACCCCAGAGTTTGCAATATGCAGATAGAAATATGAATATAGAAGTGGAGAGAGGGGCTCCTGGGCGGCTCAGTTGGTTAAGTGTCTGATTTCGGCTCAGGTCATGATCTCATGGTTTGTGAGTTGGAGCCCCGCATCAAACTGTCTGCTGTCAGCACTGGCCTGCTTCAGATCCTCTGTCCCTCACTCTCTATCTGCCCCTCCCTCGCTCATGCTCTCTCTCTCTCTCTCTCTCAAAAATAAATAAACATTAAGGGGAAAAAAAGAAGTGGATGGAGACGTGTGTGGATACCTATACATGCAAGTATTTGTATATAAAAACACCTCATCCCCAGCTCTGTCTGCTAAGACAGCCTAGAAGCAAAGAAACCACCGTAGCACATAACTGCACACCGTAGCACCTAGATCTTGGTTCCTAAATACCATTCTCCATCAAAAGAAGGACTGAGAACAACCTAAGAGTAGACGGGGGCATGGGGGAGAGCGGAAAGTGGGTGATGGGCAGGGAGGAGGGCACTCGTTGGGATGAGCACCGGGTGTTGTATGGAAACCAATTTGACAAAAAATTATATTAAAAACAAAAACCAAAGTTATTTAAAGAAACGGCCATCCCAGGACTGGGCAGGGAAAACACAAGCTGAGCCTGGGACACCTTGTCTTTGCCCGGGCTGTCCCCTCCTCCTGGGCTGCTCTTCCACACGCCCTCCTGCGACGTCCCATCAGATCAACAGTGCACCCAGTCTGCCAATGCTCAATCTTCTGTCGCTGATCAGGGATTTGGCAAAGTACCACGGGCCAGTGAAGCCCCTTGGAAAATCCAACGCACCTCATGCAAAGCCGGGCTCTGTCTGGTTACTAACTTAACCCGTATGAGACTCAGTTTCTCCATGCAACAGGGATACTGAGACCTGCCCCCTGGGGTACGGGGGAGCCTCAGACAGGTGACCCAAGCTGAGCCACGAGGCTGAGTGCTTACCCAGCAAACACTAAATGGCAGTATTTTATTCACAGTGATGTGTTCACCTGCTCTGTGAGATCCTGAGCTCTGCCTCATCTGTTCTTCCCATCCCCCACCACCCAGCACTGCCTGCCACCCCAGGAGTGGTCAGTCTGTGTTTCTTGGATTGTTTCATGGAATTACTAGCTGATATTTACTGACAGGCCTTTATTGACTGGAATGTACAGACCGGTGCCATCCTGCTGACACTGGAGTGCATCTATACTTATTGATTGAACATTTCCTACCAATGCCCACTGACTGACACCTACCTGGGACCGTCCCTCATAGCACCTGCCGGGGCCCCCAACCTCCTGAATAAAAGGAAGGAAAGCTCTCTGACACTCCCTCCGCCTGCCTCTTTTTCATGTCCTGACACGCCCATTTCTCTGCATCTCTGTCCCACCTCTTTCTCTGTCCCGATTCCTTGTCAGCATCACCGTGTCTGGTTTTCTCCTTGTCTCTGTGATCCTGTTCTGCCACCGGCTCTCTCCCTGCTTCCACGGGCCCTGCTTTATGGTTTTTCCCCTGCCACCATCTTTCCGTCCCACAGGAGAGTCGTCTCCCCTCACCCCAAACCGATGACCCTCATCGTCCACACTCAAGGACATGGCACTTGATAGCACAGGTGCATATTTATTGTTACATCTTTATTGTTCTCCTGGCAACAGACCATCTTCTCTAGTCTTCGGGGATCAGATGCAGATGGTTTTCTTTATCTGCACCATCTGGGACGCCCGTCCTCCCCATCCCTCCCACTTCCCCCAATCTTAGAACCCCCAGAAGAGGCATCATCTGGAAATGTCAGAAGCAGCCTGAGGATTCCCCAGCTAGCACGTGTGGGGAGGGAAGGATGAGGTGACACGTGCCACACACATGGGAGGATGTGCTCCAGGAGAAGAAACACATGGTCAGACTCCAAAGTCGTCATGGACAGTTCATACATCATGTGTCCAGGCCAATTATTTGAGGGCGCAATGGACCCAGCCTGAGCAGGGCATATGCAGACGCTATGCGAGTTGGAGGACGTGGTGTTTGAGGGCGCAGATGTGAATTCTGGGGGGAAAGGAGCACATACATAGAATTAAGCCCTTTGCTCCGATGAAGCCATGTGACATGCACCACTTTGGAACGAAAGCTCCTCCTGCTGTCCCGTTGTTCTGCCCTTGCTCTTTCTCTCTGCCCTGCCTAGACAGGGGCTGCTCCTTCAGCCCTGCTGCCAAAATGAAGAAGACACGCTGAGCACAGGCATGGCCTCTGACCTGCGGATGGTAGGTAAAGGGAGGGGAATAGAAACACGTTGTCATTTATGAACCACTGAAGTTTAGGGGGTGTTTGTTACTGCCACACAACCTAATGAAAGTTGGGGAAAACATCTCGTATAGTGCCGTGGCTTTAAATACTACTCCTGCGCTGATGGCTCTCGTCCGTACATCACCAGGCAGACACTCTTCTCTGAGCTTCCGACAGGTACATCCAACTGCATATTCCAGTCTCCACTTGGGTATCTCACAGGCATATCAACTATAACATCCACAATGTAGCCAAACAAAAATTTGAGAACATCTGCTTTTCCGCTTGCTGCCGTATACAGCAAGCCCTGTGCCATCATTTAAAACGTACTATGTGACATTATAGATGCCTGTTGTCAACTCAGTATCACCCCCACATACATCATGCCGCATGCAGTTATATCAAAGTGGACCTATCTTTTCATTTTACTTTCAGGTTTTTTATAGGATACTTTTCAAATTACAAAAGTAACACACTGAACAATTGAAATGTACAACAGAGCAGTTGAAATGTACAATAGAAAGGTTACAAGTATGAGCAAGGCAAGGTATGAAAATACATTCCTGGTTTTCATCTACCAGCTAATGAATCTCCAGATGTTGCCTGGGTCTCCAACAAGGAAGAACGCCAGAGTTGACTGGCGCCACGCATGTTAAGTGGATGGGCAAATGGATGTTAAGTGGATGGGCAGACCCTGCCTCTACGAGGGACACCCACGGTGAGCGTGGGGGCTATAGTTGTGGGGTGGAGCAAGCTTCGCATGTGGGAGGTTGTGAGCAGAGTTCAAGTACCTGGATGTCCAGTCTATGTTTGCAGATGACAGAGTCTGGTGATCAAGATCATGCAGCAGGCAAACCTGGGTCTAAATCCCACTCAGCCATTTTCTTTTTTTTTTTTTTTTTTTTTTTTTTTTTAATTTTTTAATGTTTATTTTATTTTTGAGAGAGAGAGAGAGAGAGAGAGAGCGTGTGAGTGGGGGATGGTCAGAGAGCGAGGGAGACACAGAATTCAAAGCAGTCTCCAGGCTCTGAGCTGTCAGCACAGAGCCTGACACGGGGCTCAAACTCACAAACTGCGAGATCATGACCCAACCAACTGAGCCACCCAGGCGCCCCAACTCAGCCATTTTCTATGTGCACTTGGGCAATTCGCCTCTGTAAACCTCAGTTTACGCATCTGAAAAACAGAAATAATAAAACTTATGTATTGGTCAGGGTCCAATCAAAAACCACAGAAGACATTCTGTGTGTTCCAAGTAGAAAGGGCCTTAATGTAGGGAATTAGAAGCTTCCACAACTGTCAGAAGGGCTGGGTAAACACCCACTGAGGAAGCCACAACCCTCCAACTGCTACTTCCCTGGGACATTCCCAGTGACCCTCTTAGGATGCAGGAATGCAGCGTGTGAAGCTCAGAAAGCTTGTCTGGAAGATGCTTCAGATCTCATGTCTATGTATCTGCCTGCAACTGCTTCTGGAGAATAATGGCCTCACCGTCTTCTCCCCTTTCCAAATCTCCCATGAACATCTGTTTTGGCCAATGCAAACCAGAAACCATATGAGGAAGGGCTTTGTGGGAAAGGTAGGTCCCAGCTTCTCCTCCGCAATGCAAAAGACACCTAATGACAGGTGACAGTCAGATGCCAGGCAGACAATACACAACCCAGCACAACCTGCCATCTAAGATTCTTACAAGATTAAATGAAACAATGCAGATAAATTCTTAGCTTCACATATAGTTAATGCACAGTAAGTGGCAATTATTACAATTATTTTTATAATTTTGATCCTGGAACTGGTGGTTCTCCACCCAGCCCAACACACTCACTCCCTTTCGTGTTAGAGAAAACCCTAAGCATTTGGGTTCCTGTCAAAAGATACATTCCCCGTTGCCTCACATCACTCAGCAGGTTCTATTATTCCTTTTTCAGATCCGATTATAGTGGCAACATTTGTAAATTGCTGATCCTTTAATGCCCCATAAGCACACATTCTGGCTAAACGTATTCAAATCAATTACACTGAGAGACATGAACTAAATTCTCTACTTCTGTGTCTCCCGGTTTTGTATTCCATGGCAATTGTACTCAAAATCACCACCAAAAAAAAAAAAGAGAGAGAGAGTATTATGCTACAGGTGTGTCTTCTCTATCATCCACCCATCGAGGCATGAAAATACCCAATAATAACCCCTGTTATGAAGGAAGAAGTTCTAGCCTCACAATTGCTATCGCCAAACAAATACATTTCAGGATGATGAAATGTTTCCAATCGAAATTAATTTTAAAAACCCAAACCGCATGCAAACTTACTTCCATGAAACTTAAATTCAAACCATTCCATGGGTAACAAAATTATACTTATAAAGAACTCAGAATGATTGGATCTCAAAATTCAAAATCCAATTGTAGAAAATAAAATCTGTTATATATAAACCTCCAGGGCCTTTGCCAAGCCATCCTCTGCTCTGAAGCACAATCCAAACATCACATGGTCACAGGTCAGTGATTCCTGCAGAGAAATCCATTTTACAAACAAACCTAGGGTAATAGCACCCAGATCTGTAAATGCCTTTTCCTGATTAATGATGGGCCCACACACTGTCAAGTCCACGGCAACCAAGAGTAAAGCTAACATTCTTAGGGGCAGCATTACCCTTAAAATTGCAATAATCTCCAGGGAAAGTGACCCAGTTTAAACTTACTCTCTCTTTAGCTTGAATTTGTTTAGCTCTTTTGAACTTGTTCTATGCTGTCACCTGTGTCCTTCAAAGACATGCCCCTTGTTATTCCCTGTAACTCGCCCATTCAATCAGATGTCTCCGATGATTTTTTTAAGTTTATTTTTTTTTAGTAATCTCTATCTCCAACATGGGGCTCGAACTCACGACCCAGAGATCAAGAATCGTATGCTCTCCTGACTGAGGCAGTCAGGCACCCCAGAAGTCTCTGATGATTTTAAAAGCAATTTAACTCCCAGTTTACCATGATACTATTAAAGGGCAAGTCAGTGACACAAGCTAATTAATTCAATTTACAGCTGGCTTTTTTTTAAAACCCATATGTACAAATATCCATTCAGTCTGTCTAGGTGTTGGGTGAATGAGTCAGGAAAAGTCCCCAACCTCGGGGAGCTTACATTCTAGTCAGGATAGACAGATAAATGATTAAACAAACAAGACCACTTCATAATGTGTAAGTAAGATTCTGAGAGTCTCTTTGCTTCACTTGTCTGGGCTGAGGTGAGACCAAACCCATGGAGAGCAAAGGAAATACAATTCTTGGCAGACGTTATAGCAAGTGCAAAGGGCCTGTGGCTGAGAAGAGTTTGCCACACTCAGGAACTAGAAGCACACTGCCGAACAGAAACACACACACAACACATATGTCAACACACACCAAAGACTTTCTAAAATGTATTATTAAACTTAGTTGAGGATGCCTGGGTAACTCAGTCAGTTTAAGAGCCCAACTTCAGCTCAGATTATGATCTCACATTTCATGGGTTCAAGCCCCAAGTCAGGCTCTGTCATGACAGCTCAGAGCCTGGAGCCTACTTCAGATTCTGTGTCTCCCTCTCTCTCTGCCCCTGCCCTGCTCATGCTCTGTCTCTGACTCTCAAAAATAAATAAATGTTGAAAAAGGAGGGGTTCTCTTTTAAAAATATATGCCTACCATATAAAGAATAACAATAAAGGATCACTCATGTATCCCACTATCCAATTTAAGAAATGAAACATGACCATTGAATTTGAAATCTCTGTGTGTTCCTCTTTGACCCCATTCTCTTTCCACTTACCCAGAGGAAACTTAATCTGAAGTCTGTGTAATTCTCCCACATTTTTTTCTTTGTGAGTTTCTCTATGAGTTCCAAATATTCCAGCAATATGTTAATACATTTTGATCTTTAAAAAGAAACATGCAGTTATTTATGATTCTATGACTTCTTTTTTCTTTATAGCCAAGTCAAAACTCTTGTTTTTTTTTTTTATTTGAGAGTAGGAGTTAAACTTTTAATTGAAAATTTTATTGAAGTGATTGTAAATTCACACACAGTTGAAACAAATAACACAGATAGATTCTGTGTACCCACCCTTTACCCAGTTTCCCCAGTGGTTACAGTTTCAAAACTATAGTACAATAGCACATGCAGGATATTGACATGAGACAACTTACCAATCTTATCCAGACTTGCCTAGTCAAGTCATTTGTATGTGGATATTTAAACTCATTTGTATGTGGATATTTAAATCTATGATTGTTATCACATGTGTAGGCTTGTGAATCCACCACCACTGTCAATGTACCGGATAATTTCATTACCGTAAGGATCCGGGAGGCAGTCTCCCTCCAGTCCCACAACATTTCTAACCCCCAATAACCATTAATCTGTTCAACATTTCTAATATTTTATCATTTCAAAAATATTATATAAATGGAATCATATAGTATGTAACCTTTATTGACATATTTCACTCATAATAATTCACTAAAGATTAACCTAAGTTGTGTGTCTCAATAGCTTGTTCCTTTTCATTGCTGACTAGTATTCCACAGTATGGGTACACCTGTTGGCTTAAGAAGGCATCTGCTGAAGGGCATCTGGGCTGATTGTAGTCTTTGACCAATATTACAAATTAAGCTACTATGAATATCTGGCTATTACAAATAAAGCTTCCCAGGCTTTTCTGTGGACATAAATTTTTACTTCTCTGGGATAAATGCCTAAGAGTGTAATTGCAGAGTCATATGCATGCTTAGTGTGAT